GCTCGGTGCAGAACCGCTACCCGAAACGGCTGAGCCGCTCGGTGCCTTAGCAGGCGCTGCCTTCTTCAATCGCTCGACTGCCATGCGCATATTAACATCGTTTTGTACACCCTCATTTGGCTATCGAAGACGCTTCCCCTCTGAGGGCATTCCTGGGCAGAAATTCGGACCGCGCGGCAAGAAGTATTGATTATCTTGCCATGGGAAGAAGTCCGTATATGCCATCCCCCGTTTCCGGAATTCAATGAACGCTTCAGAATAATATGAATGGATGGGTCCGCATCCAGATCCGTCTTGGACGGCTGGGAACAATTTACGGTCCAAAGCTGTTGCGAATGGGCGTGTATTGAGCACCGACCTGGGCACACTGCCTTCCACAGGGCTCCAGTCTTGCCAGTGCATGACAAGCTCATCGACGGTGGCCTCTTGCGCAGTGTACCCGTCAGCTCTCGTCGCCCTTGTTATGCTGCCCCCCTGGACGGCTGAGCCGCCAGAGGGTTGGCAAAAAAACAATGCAGCAAGTTTGGCAGTCTTGAACATGTACTCAGAGCACAATTCTCCTGCGGCGACCTTCACCATCTGTCCGCCCTTATCAAGTTTGCAATCATCATGTTCAGGGACAAAATGATAAAGATTCCCTGGTTTGTGCCGCAGCTTGCGGTACAAACTTACACCGTCTAAGATCATTATCCGCGGGAAAATCCCCATGGCTCTGTATCCTTCAATCCGTTGGTTCATTTTAGCCCTGACGAGAGTGGCGACATCATTCCGCATTTTGTTCACGCCGGATCCGTTGGTCCTCCAGCATACGTTGTCTCCGCCAACACACATGATCTCAATTGCCCCGTCCCCCGCACGGGAGATCGCGTCATCCACCAGCTTAATCGCGTTTTCTATTAATATTCGAAGACTTCCAGCGAAAACAAACGGGTCCTCTGGTCTCTGTGTTCCAGAGCCGACTCCGATCAAATCACCGTATCCATCAACGATGTCGTTAAAGTTCCAGAAGATGAAACGGATCGGCGTGTGAATTCCTTTCTTATAGTCACGATGCCGTGCCCAATCAAATTCCATAGCCTCCTCCTTGAGCTCTGGAGCCATGCGTCCACTCATGATCGTCGTTTGCGAGCTGCCATGCACCTGTTCCCGCATATGGTACTCAGGGATAAGACTGATTTTTTCTTCCTTGGACGATTCCCGAAATGAGATTGTGGATTCTGAAACAATGTGGACGGAATAAAACCAAAATCTGCATGTCCCACTTTCCACCACGCACAAAGGATTGAAGAAATCTGTTACTGGTTTGCCCGCGGTCATCATGGTCGCAATGTCCTCACCAACAAATGGGATCCATGAGTGCCCACTCAGTCGGGCAATCTGCGTGATGGCCTGGCACTTTTGAAGAAACGTTAACTGAAGTGCCCAGTTTGCCATCTGAGGGTCCGTGATATCGACATGCAGCTGGAGGATCTCGTTCACTTTGGCTTGCCTCTCATTGGGCGGTGCCCTGAGGTCCTGCGCAAAATTCTTCTGCAGCCTATAATAGTCAAGAACGTTCCAGGGGCCCCGTCCGAAATAAGGCGGGTCACCCTGGTTGCCACTTGCGGAGGCCGATCCCGCGTCAGGAGGTCCGCCTCCACCATCTCCCCCGGAGGGGTTACCTGATGGCGGGATATCTCCCGAGGGAATGCCTCCCGATCCAGGGGGGCCCCTCCACCGCCGGCTGGGCCGGGGGGAGAGCTACCGCTCGCCCCGCCACCAGCTGGGCCGCGCGGGGCAGCCGGATCTGATGCGGACCCGGCGGATGATCCGCCGGCAGCCTGTCGACCGACACCAGGATTGTCCAACGAAGTCTGATCGATGGCGGCAACCGTCTGACGGCTCCCCGAATCGACTGGGTCGTTCGGCGCCTCTGTGGCCAAGCGTGGCTTTTTCGTCGGCGATTGCACGTCGGCCTCGCCGTCAAGTCCATCCTTCGCAAGCCAAGCGTCGAAATCGCATGGGCGTGACCACCGCGGTTGTTCTTTGCGCCAATGTACGGCCTCTTGAGGGGAGGTCTCAAAGTAATTTGCTCTGGCCGAAGGGGTGAGAGCTGCCTCAACCACATGTGCAGGCGTGTGAGACAAACCCTTGATAACAGGCAGGGCAAATAGCGTGCCCCAACCATCCCCAGTGGCTGTGCCGCGGGGAGGCGTTCGCGGTGATGGGCCCCACATGTTCAGCCACAACTCTGGAGCGCCTTCTGTCAATTTGCCCCTTATCGGGACGCTCACAAAGTCTCCGTAGATTGTCTTCCGCCGCTTGGCTGGGCCAACGGTGGGACCTACAACCTCTCCATTTTCAAGGGCACGGACGGGGCGACGTGCCTCACCCGGTGCATTTGTATACAATCTACAGACCAACCTCGTCATTTCATCTGGATACGACTGAAAGAATGTACCAACGGGGATATGGTCAAGATTCGGAGGGGCACAATCAAAACGGCATGTTGCCATTCTGTCAAACGTAGTCCTATGCACGGTCCACGGATCTTGCGAGGCTTGCGAGAACAGTCGTTCAAATATCGTCTGTGATGTGTCGGCCAGATCCGCCTTTAATGCGGTAACGACTTGGTCGTTCCGTCTGTGCAAGATGTTGTGTCTCCACATCGTGAAACGCCAACTCCATCCCCGTTCGCGAACAAACTTGATAGTCCCCGTGAGATTAGGCGCGGACCATTCTCTCTTTTTATCAGGGAAGCAACGGAAGATGGATTTCTCCTTCTGGGAATTGTCACCTCCTTGATCGGAGATGGCTACCCTCTTGGCAGATTGATTGTTTTGGATGGCTTCTTCAGCAGCTCTTTTACGAGCTGCAATCTCTTCTGCGTGGATCATTACACCGCCCTCCATTTCGATGTCTTCATTCATCGCGACATCGCTTGGGCTAAAAGGATTAGCCTCTTCCCCAGCCAGCTTGGCCGGGGGGGGGGGCGTTCCCGCTCGGCTGGGCCGGCGGGGGGGCCTCGCGAATTGGGTTCGGAAGAGCCTTTGCTTTAGGCTCAGCCTGGGGATCTCCCTTCCCAGGCGACTCGGGAGCGAGTTCGTCTATGATGTCGTCCGAGCAAACCGAGGCCGCGTCCTCCCCCGACGGCTTAGCCGCTGGGACTCCCAGCGGTTGACGCACGGGTTTGGTCTGTGACCTCTCGGGCGCGCGGGGGCCGCGGCAGGCGAAGTTCGCGCAACCGCATCGGGGCGGCGACGCGATCCGATGGGGGGGCCGGCCGCGGGGGCCCGCGCATGCTCTGGAGACAAAACGGCAGCGGCACATACTAAATCAGAGTATAGGAAGGGACGACGACGCGAAGACGAAATGCGCTCCGCGGCACGTGCAACAACAATATGAACTTGTTTGACAAAGGCGTCAGTATAATCCTCAGCAAGCTTGCACTCACGTCCTCTCGCCTCAACATGTTCGCGCGCGCCATCACATCTGCGCTCGAGTCCCTCTGTCACGTCGGGAGACGTGGAAGCTAGCGTCCACGGCTTTTTCATGAAATTACCCTTGTGATCCCTCCATCCGTACGCGCATCCATGCAACGCCGTCTTGACAAGCTCTAACTCTCTCATGAACTCTTTGACCTGTGGATCCCTCCAATAATTACACTGAGTCGGCCACTCAGTGCAAACGGTGCCCCCCGTTTTGTGCGCAGCAAAAGCAATCTCTCGGAAATTCCAAAACAGGTATCTGAAATCTGTCCTAATACCACGAAGCCTTCGCATCGCCATATGGCTTCCGGCACGAAAATAATGTGTTTCGTTCACATACTGCCAGGGGGAACCTCCCGCACAGGGCATGGAGCCCCCCCATAATGTAATGCGTTGTCCTTTGAAGGTTTTTATATCATTCAAAGCCAACCTTCTTCCCTCATCAGTCCTCATATCTTCTGTCTCCGTGTATCGAATAACCTTACACGAGTTATCAACAGAATTCTTTGGATTTCCTATCTTACTGCAAGGGCCACAACAGCATTCTAACAAGAGTCTCTCCCCGGTCCACTGTGTGGCCGGGGCGCAATCTTCCCAGATCCAGAATTCTGTCCATCCAGTCCACCTATTTGGAAGATAATCGCCATCGCTGGAATCGCCATTCGAATTCTGCTCACATGGGTGATGGTACCTACTATCTCCATCGCGCCAACTATCCGCGCGGTCTATAGTCATACCATGCTGGGTATTAACGGCAAAGGTGCGACGCCTATCATCTAGTCTGTCCGGGTCGATCGGGCAATCCGTACTCACTGGCATGAACGTGACAAGTCTAGGAACGAAGTGCCATCGTTTTACCTTAGTGCGCGGGAGTTGGTCCAGAGAGCGTTGCACGTAAGCGCCCGCGCCGAGCCCTTTTCCCAAGCCGTGAGCTTTTTCGAGCGGAGCCCAGCCGTGACGACATCGAAACTGAGGCGATTCGATCCATCAAATTCGGGGGGGGGAGGGGCCCGACCGGGGGCCAACTCCACGGCAGGCCAAGCTAAGCCTATGGCAGGCTCAGGAGGCAGCACTCCTATGCCACAGAATAGGTCGCCGTCCACCAACTTGCCGTATGCCGCTCTCTCAAGCTGGCGAAGCGCGGCTTGGTGCAGCAACACCTTACGGCGCGAGCTGGGTGCACGAGAGCCCGCGCCCTTGGTCATCCGAGAAAACGACCGTGCTCTGCGTGTCCCAACCAATCCTCCTAAGACTCATGTACATAGCACCCATGGGTCCCGAAACGCTCCTCCAAGTAATAGCTTTCTGGCGACTGGCGAACACTCCTTCCCAAGACGCCCGAATGGTGGCCCAGTCCAAGGTACCAGGAAAAACGCTTGTCCTGAGAAGTCAAACCTCTTTTACGTATCTCATCACAGGAGCAACCGAGCCGTGCCAAACAGGGTCGCCCTCAATGAGAGAAAGAACGCTAAGGGAACGACGGGCAGCATCAGGCTTACTTGAACTCGCAGCCACACGTCTGAGACCGCGCACCTCTCCATCCGACAAACCCTGGACTTCACAGCCGTAAATGTAGCCAGGCAGCGGACCAGAAGTGAACACTTTGATAGCCTTGCGCCCAAAGTGAACCCGAAACCTCTTCAACCTGAAAATTTCCCGCCTCATCTTCACCTTCCTCTCCTTGCATTTCCCCATCCTACCCTTGCCCGTTCTGGAGCTCCTTGCAGCCGAGTCGTCGCAGCCAAGATTGACAGCGGCAGAGTCAAGCACCCCGAACAGGCCAAGGTCAGCCTCCAGCTGTCGGCCCAAAGATTCGCAGGAGCACCCAAAAGCCACCTTGCCAAAAACATCGCGACCTCCTAGCATCTGCCGGATGCCAGCTAAGAGCAAAGAGGCCATGTTAACGATGGTGTCCTGAACATAAGCTCTGGTACCAATGGCCGAGATGCTGGCATCAATGTAAAAGTCGAACGGCGAGAACTCCGACGTATCACGATCGATGCGATGCAAGTTGGCCGAACGAGGGACCGTGTCGAACGCGTCGAGTGCGTGGGCCCTTATCAATGAGGTCGCCATGCTGCATCCAGCTATGATACCATGAGTGGCCCTCGAAGGGCCCGCAATGATCCCAGAGAGACAGACGTAGCGCGGCGACTTGTACGCCGCAAGGCACAAGCGGCGGACCCCCAGGGGAAACTGGCGCCTGTGCCCTCGGAGCTCTAATGCCTCAAGGTCAATCATCTCTTAATGCTTATACATATTCCACAATACAGAGGCCGAGTAGGCTCCTCTCCTAACTCCAGCTTCCGAACTAAACGACTGGCGCCACACAGCGGCCAAGGCCCCTCGGTGCCGTCCCGCGGCCCAATAACCCCTGGCAAATGCGTGCTCCTAGGCCTCCGCCAAGGGCCGACGGGCCCGCCCCCGGGGGCGGTAGACCGAAGGGAAAATGGCAATCGGCCGAAATCCACCTTTCTCCTTGGCGAGGAGCGCCACCAAAACAGCCGAAAGCTGGGTTGGAATGATACCCGAACGCTCGGCAAGGGACAGCAGCAAGCACAGCGCCTTCAGGCTGGCGTCGCTGAGGTGCTGGCAGTGCCGAATGTGAAACCCATCATGGGACACAGCGCTCCCCCCAGGGTGCTTCCTGCTCAATTTGCGGAGAAACTCAACTTCCAGAGGGGGCATGGCCTCGGAGTGCCTGCACTTAAGTTTCGGGGGGAAGCTCTGACCTACCAGAGGCCAGAAAACGTTTTGACCTCAGCATCGAGCAGCTGCTGGGGGTCCGAAACCAGCTGCCCCTCGGACGAAAGGGTGGACGTGGGGCGCCAAGAAAGAGGATCTTTGATGGCACTGTGAGCGTTGCGCGCACCCTGGCTGAGCTTCCCAGTCAGCCACGCATGCCAATCCTGGCCAGCCATGCGTTGGTAGTGCTTCGCGCACGCAGCCAAGACCTCTTTCTGGCGAGCAAGAAGGGCCTCCAGCCTGCCAAGCCACGTGGCGAGCAGCTCCGCAGGGCCCCCGGGGTCGCACAGAGAGGGGTCGCCAGCTATATGCAACCTCTCCCTTTCCTCAGCGCCTCCGCCGCCGAGGGGGGCGGTGCGTTCTGAGACCGGGTATTCCGAAAACCATCCAGCTTGGCGCGGGGGGAAGGATTAAACCCAGCCCAATCCTTGAGCGAGTCCCTCATCTCCTGCAAAAGCGGAACGTTGTCCTGGTGGATGAGCAGCCGGGGGGCCCACTCCCCCAAGCGCGCCACGAGTTCCCCCTCCGACCCGTTGGCCCAAATCTAATAAGCCCTACTCAACAGACGTTGCACCTCAATGGCATCCTGGGACCTCAGAGCTTCCCCCCCCCCCCCCATCTCAAGACACACGCGGGACCTGCTGAAGTCCCCGGGGGGAGGGGGGGGGGGGGCAGGGAGAGCATCAACAGGGGGGGGGGGGAGGGGGGCTTGCGAAACCCCAGAGCCCGGAGGCGGCATAGAGCTGGATGAAACACCAACTCCACGAAAGAGCGCGGCGAGAATTCACTGCCTTCACACCGCTGCACGCGTTTAGCTCCTCGTGCCAATCCACCTGAGACGAGGAAGTCGCCAAAGTCAGAGTGGCGAGCCCCATGGCAAGTGGGCGCGCCAGTCGAAATAAGCTCACACCTAGCCAACTCCAAGAAACCAATGTCTTGGAGCTCTGATGGTTCCAGGTTGAAGCCCCCCCCCCCCCCCCCCCCCACGCACCGCGCACGGAAAGCCCTCCAGAACCACATGGGCCCCGACTGCCTTGTGCAAATCCAACTGACGTTCCGTCTGGTCCTCGGCGTCGAAACCATGCGCTGAGACAAGCTCAAAGTGGACACCCCCTGGCAGCTGAGCGACTGCACCCTGAGCTCGACCACCATACAACTGCTGAGATCGCTGGAGCCCCATGAACGACCTAGCCAGGATATCTACTCCTCCAGAAGTGCCCCCTTCGGACGTCCGAACCGCGGGCTCCCAGGGGCTTTTCCGCCCATGGTTCAGACAATACTTAGACGCTCTGCCAATACTATCCAGATCGGCCAGACGATGTTCCTGGACAAGAATGACATGCGGGGTCCCAGCCGACGGTAACCAATCTCGAAGTGATCCCCAGCTATTCCAGTTAGCCGTGGCGAAACCAGCTCAAGAGAGTCTTCTTCGGGCCTGGGACCTGGGCCAGGGACTCCTGGGCCCGAGAGATCATTGCCAAAGTTCTTGGGAGATATTAGAGAGAGAGGAGGAGGAACAGGAGGAGGAGGAGAAGGACAAGAGGTCCATAGCCATGTTGGCTCGAGCCGCAGGTTCAGGCGGACAGGGACGATGTCTTGATGCCATGGAACCTCACGAGATCAAGAAGAGCCGACGCGAATCGAGTCCGTGGCTCATCCGAGCCGCGGTTTGCCGTGTGCCCTATGCGGTCAGGAAGGGTAAACAGATCGATCTGAAAGACTGGAGGACAATAGCCGCCAACATCGGCACTTCTGACACCGTTCTTTACGAGAAAGATAGGCGTGGGAAGCAGGCGAATACAAAACATTTCGTTGTCCAGGTGCCGTCCTCCCAAGACAGTAGCTACAGTGCAGACGTGATCAACTATAGCTCCGAACAGCAGGAGATCCCTTTTTGGCAATGGCAGCTCCCCGCGACTCTCACATATACCTCTTGGTGCGAGGGCCAAGACACAAACCAGAACGTGAGCGTGCGAGAAGCGTTTGCTGAACCAGAGAGTGCGCGAAGTGAGAAACACCAACAGCCCATCATCACTGGCGCGAACCTGGTCACGCCAACGTGCGAGAAGAGCGAGGCGAGACAAGATCCAAACACTGCTACGTCGTCAGCTACATGCGGGGCCATGCGTGCACGAGAAGTGGCAGCAAGGGCAAAGCAGGGGCGAGACGAGGCAATGGCAGCGAGTGTGCGAGGAGTGGCAGTGGCAGCGGGCAGTGGCGCAATCCTGGGAGGAAACGCGCCATCAGCTACAATACGGGGTATACGCGAGCGTGCAGAAGCAGCGCCGTCGGGCAGTGGAGCCCAGGCTGCGCCGCCCAAGGCTCAAGACGACCAACTCAGCGAGGTGGCCGGGAAGACAGTGCGAGCCGCCGTGGAGCGCCGCCACCATCGTGAGCAGCACGGCGGCGCGGCACAGAACAAGACCCCAGAGCAGGCCCGAGGCGGCAACCGCCTCTACCTGGGAGCCGCCCGTTACAACGGCTACAACGGCAACCAGCATGGCGACAACGGCCAGCACGACTACGACGTCTACAACGGCTACAACGGCTACCAGCACGGCAACAACGACGACCAGCACGGCTACAACGGCGAGGCAGTGGCAGCGGGCAGTGGAGCGTGTCTGCGAGAACAGACGGTGACGAGCAGTGGTGCGAGCAGTGCTGCTGGCCTGCGAGAACAGGCAGTGGCGGGCGAGGCAGTGGCAGCGGGCAGTGGTGCAAGTCTGCGAGAACAGGCGGTGGCAGGCAGTGGTGCGAGCAGTGGTGCTACCCACCCGCGAGAACAGGCGGTGGCGGGCAGTGGCGCGAGCAGTGGCAGCGCTGCGACCCTCGACGACCCCACTTCGACGACCCTCGACGACGCCCTTCGACGACGACCTTCGACGACGCCCCTCGACGTCCACTCTCGACGACGCCCCTCGCCCACCCTCGACGCCCCTCGACGACGCCCCTCGACGACACCCCTCGTCGACGCTCCCTCTGAAGCGAAGCTAGAGCCCGACACCATCAGCTGCAGCGCCGCGATCAGGGCATGCGAGCAGACAAAGGCGAAGATAGAGCCCTTTATCGGCACAGGCATGGACACGGACACGGGCAGCGGCCTTCGACGACCCTCGACGACGCCCCTCCACGACCCTGCCCGACGCCCCACGACGACCCTCGACGACCCCTCTTCGACGACCCCTCTTCGACGACCCTCGACCACCCCCCTCGACGACGTCCCTCGCCGACGGCAGTGGCAATATCGCGGCAGTGGCAGCAGTGGCAGCGGCAGCAGGCAGTGGCAGCAGGCAACGCAATGGGACGGAGCGACAAACCGTCATCAGTTACAGTCTGGGACACTAGCGTGCGAGAAGGAGAGTCCTCAGCTGCAGGCCGTGACACACCGTGCCGACAAACATTTCGACGCTGGAGGGCGAAGTCACAAGCCAGAACACGAGCGCGCATGAAGTGCCTGACGAACCTGAGCGCGCGCAAGGCGAGAAACACTCGGGGGCACGAGTGCGAGAAGAGACGGCAGCGGCTGCTGACCCACGGCTTGGTACCCAGACGTCATCAGCTACACGTGTGCGAGAAGAGCCGGCAGCTGCAGCGGGCGACTGGAGGGCTGCGGCCTTGGCCGCGGCTGAGGCTGCGGCCGCAAGGGGGGCCTCTCCCCAACTGCTGGCCGCGATGACCTATAGGCTCCGTAGGCGCGCTCACGAGCAACACATTCCCATCCCTTTCGAGTGCGCCAATGCCGCCAGTATCTTCGACCAGGTGGCAACACATAGTATGTGTTTCCTCACGGGCGACTGGAGTGTGTGCTTTCCTCAGCTCGTCCGCGACCCTTCCCACGATCATCCTTCGCGCGTCAGACAAGATCAGCAACTCCAGTTTCGAAGAGGCCATGCGTATGACAGAAGACCTCCTCGAATACGCCCGCGACATCGACAGCGAGGGCGACGACGACGAGGGTGACGAGTCCGAGAGCGGCGTGGAGGAGCTTACCCACGAGAGCGAACAAGATAGCCTGGAGAGCGAGCAGCCGTCACAAGCAAGCAGGGACACGCCAGTGCGAGAAGCAGCAGAGGTAGCGGGCAGTGGCGCGAAGCTGGGAGCCCATACGTCATCTGCTTCTGGGCGGGAATCGCTAGAACGGAAAGCTGCCAATAGCAGTGGCGAGAGGCGGGAAACGGCGGCAGCCGCGGCGGGAGGCGGCGCGACGCCCCAGACGAGACGCACGGTCTCGTTCGCGCCGACCGGAAGGCTCCGGGTGGAGAGGACGAGTTCGACGAGTTCGGCAATCACTTGAACGACATCCTCTGAGCGGGGGGGAGAGGTGATCCACC